TATTTGGGTGGCGGTGCCCCCATGGGAAACATATCCGTCACCCAAATATGGATGACATAGTGACGAACGTTTTAACCCTTTGCACTCGGCGATTTTTTCGTTGCAGAAAAATAGTAATTTCAGTAATTAATAGTAATTTCAACCATAAGGTGGACGATATTTTTAAGACGGTAAATAAGAAATCGCATTCAAATTAAGACGTAGAATTATTTTACTTCGATATTCCACATCCGCATCGTTGGGTAATTATAAATTTGATATATTAATTAACGTCCATCTTTAGAATCCGATTAAATGGCGACTGAGAGGCGTCTCTCGAGTGCAAAGGGTTAAAATCGTACTTTCTTCTTGATCCTTCTTCAGCTTCCTTTTCTCTTTTACGTAGCTCACGTACGTTTTCGTTCATCGTGACAGCAGTTCGTCCCTGTGAATTGCTCGAATTGGTTAAAGTAGCTGCAAACTGTTAAAGGGACACACGCAGAGGAAGCTCACACGCGTGCCTGGGAAAACTGGCAACCGACGAATGCGGTCATTTCCAATTTCGACGGGAGATTACTATTAATACGCACTCGTTACGCCGCGCATTAAATTCCCTGCAAACACCGGGACGAGCTCGGCAAAGCACACGGTCCGTTATTTACCAAACTGATTATTACCTGACGAATCGGGAGAGGCCTCGTCACCTCCGATTTGGGCGAACCAGTGCATCGTTTGCTCTGCGGAAGACAAATTCGAAGTTCGTTCCTACGCGAGTCTTTGTCCAAACAGACCAACCCTGTTATACACGACGAGTGGGGTACCGCGTGCGTCGAATTTCCGCCATCGACGCGGGGCCCCGCAATCGTCGCGTTTATTCGATTTCCCGACGCCTACTTCCGGTCTTTCCTATTTCGCGTTGCGGTTAAAAACGCTTCGGGACGTCTCGACCGAGTTCACCTGCACGCCGAATTCGCGAAAGCCAGACTCGGGAAAATCCCTGCGAGTTTTACCTCGTCGAGACAGACGCCGGAGACTTGGCTTTTAAAAGAGCATAAAGGCGAATAATTCCGAATTCCGCCTTAATCCTCTTCCGCGAAAAGGAAGTGAAAAAAGAGGAATTTAAAAGAAAAGGGGGAAAAGAAGAAATACGGCACTTCGGGATCGAGGAGAAGAATGGTAGCCGGCAAGGCGAAAACGGAAAGAATAAAATAAAAAGGACAGACGGGAGAAGAAAGAACGGAAACGGAGCGGGGCCATTTGTACATCTGAAATTCGCGATTTAAGAGGTTGGTATAAAGTCTCGTAAATTTTTCCCGAAGCTTTCCACCTCGCACGAGGGAATTTCCACGACGGAAACGCGTGCGAGCATGGCGTGTCGTTGCCCGGCAGCGATCGGTCGAATTTAAATTCTGTTTTCTCTAATGATACACAGCCACCACCGGTACGCTGTCGCGAGCATCGCTAATTGCGAGCCGCCTCGCTTATTTTCCACATCTGGCGACGATTTGCTTTCAGCCGAGGGAGAGAGGCAGAGGGAGAGATAAAGAGACAGCGGTGGAACGGGGTGGAGAGAGAGTCGAGGGACAGAGGGATGTTTTATCCGCGTCGATTCTTCCGCTGGCTGATCGCAAATGTCGCCGGCGCGCGGGGAAAAACGCGACAGCCATCGCGCCACATCGCCGACTATAATTGATAATTGGAAAACGGACGGCCGTGGTGAATAGGCCGCGGAGTGCGAGGCGCGTAATTACAAAAGGCACGCGGGGAACGCGTTCTTTGGTTAAGCGATCGCGACTCGATAACGGTCTACGGGTAGCTGCAAATGGAAGTCCAAGTGCTCGCGTTATCGCGTGGTCAATTATTCCATCGGAAGTTGTTTAAATCCTCCGCGTTCCATTCTCTCGTTTCTAGCCGGTCGTATTACCAAGCCCGGCTGTTTATCGCTGCCAAGTTCCATTCTTTCCTACCTATAGCCGATCACCGATTCCGCATCGACGGAACGCGAGGAACGAGCGCGATCGAAGCGAGACAGCCCGGGAAAATCAGCGTCCAGATAATTCCCACCACGCGAAATGGAATCGCGTTCGACCATCGATTTCCACCGAGTGCATCTCGCGTCCCGCGATCAATCGTAGTCCGCGTGGCTTACTTTCGCGACCTCTTTCGCGCCGTTTAAAAAAAGCAGACGAAAAGGGGAGGAAAAAAGGAAAGGAGAGAGACGAGATGCTTGGCGAGAGGTATAGTTGGTTCGTTTCCATCGAACGAGAGAAAACTGGTGCTACCTGCCGATGTTGTTTCCGGCTGCTGATTGCAAATGTCAGAAGTAGAGGAAAAAGTGTGAGAGCGAGAGGAGAGAGAAAGAGAAGCCGGTGGACCGCCTCGTGGCAACCGTTGATGGTAATTGGACGTTTCATTAGCAATGCGGATGCGGAATCGAGCGAACGAGAGGGAGAGAGAGAGAGAGAGAGAGAGGACGGAGACGCGGCCTAGGCGCGAGAAGGCACCGAGAGACGAAGAGGACCGGGGACGAAGAGCGGGAAGCCAGAAGGGGAGGACAGGGTGAAAGCGTTTCGACGTTTCCGATAACGTTAGGGATATAAAGTTGCGTGGATCGCGGTGTCGGAAAAGCTAAGGGTTGTCAACGGGACGCGCGTCGGCGGATTGGGGAGAAAAGCAGAAGGAGAAGGGAAAAAATGATTGAAAGGACCGGCGCACTCTAACCGTGACACGTAATTAATATCGACGCTCGACTTTTCACTGGGAAAGATAGAGGAACAGTCTGGATTGCGCGTTACGCGAATCGATGCCATTTGCACCGGGGGACGAACCTCGACGGAAATTCGAAGATCTCGTTTGGGATATTCGCGTATATACGAATGGGAATAAACGAGAATAAATGAGAGCGCGCCCCCTTCGAGGTGATTAAGTGAAAAAGGAGGGAAAAGGGGAAAAAGGGTAGGGGCGGGGAGGGAAATTCGCGGGGAAAAAAACTTTCGACGATGATTTTAAATTACAGCGGTCTCGAGCCACAATGGGTCCCGCTTCCCGCGAAAACGGTCGAAAAACGTCGAGAGGCCCTCGGCGGTGGATATACACACGTCGGCTCTGTTAATCTTCCGTCGCCTGGAAGTGAGTCGGAAAACAATGGAAATCCAGCCTTTTCATCTGGTTCCGTAGGCCGCGTTGGAATTGAAATTTCGCTGCGAAGAAACCCAATTGTGGACCGAAAGCTCGCCATCCGCGATAGTTTCCACCCATTTCTGAAGCGTTTCCCTTATCTCCACGCGAACGTTTCGCTGTAGATTTGCCGCTCCACCGGAAACCCCCAATCGTTCAATGGATACCACGCTGGCCCGTGATCCGCCATCGTCGACTTATTACCCGATCCAGCCAGGTTGCTTTGTCTCCCATCCACCGACCGTTTCGTTATTTTATCGACGATTTTCGAGCTGGTCCAAACTTTCCACGAAAACGTCCAAATCCCGACCTCCGCCACCCCCCTCGATCCCCGGCACTTCGACGAGAAATTAATATCTCTTATCGATTCGAAACGATCGCGAAGCCGAGAGTCTTTATAAAAATACGAGCGCGCGGAAAGTAGGTCGAGGGTAGAATAATCGCAGATACGAACGAACGCGGAAGGAAAATGTAGTCCTCTTAAGCGAGCTACGCGCGCCGGTCGGGGCCTCGAGTTACCTCCGACGGGTCCGAACGTTCCACGAGTCGGCGTGAGAAGCAATTTTCCGAGGGTAAGGGAGTACGTGTTCTTTAACCGAGCGACGGAAAGACGCGTTATTTTCTTCCGTGAAGGAGAAACGACAAAGAACGCGTTGCCAATTGAACATCCGTAGACCGGCCTATTGTTGTTGCCAATAGGAATGCACCTCGCTGAATCGCTGCATTACAATGCGGCGCAACGTTGCACGAAACAACGTAGCCGGCGTTATCTTGCATCTTCGCAAGGTGGAAAATCCATGCGTGCACACAAAAGCCTTTTCCCTGTCTCTCTTCCATTCTCCTCGGGATACTTTCACCAAAATTGCTTCCGGCTACAATAGTCCCTCGATTCCGAGTCCCTGGGCAAAGGGGAACAAGATTCGGGGGGCAAACAGGTGCCCCCGGACCGAGAAAACGCGCGGTGTCGAAGCTGATCCCGGTGGTTCCCGATTGGAAATCAGCGTGACACGGAAGAAATAAGAAAATTCGAAAGGATAATTCGGTGTTATCGGCGCGCGAGTGGTACAGACGAGCCTGTTTGGGTCAACGCGTTCCTATTTCCACGCTGGCAAGGTCGCAAAAGTATCTCGCAGGCTGCACGTTGAAAAATCTGTCAGTAGATACGGCCAAGGGACTCTGTTAATCTTCCAGCGTTAGGAAGTGGGTCGGAAAACAATAGGAATCTGTTCTACCCATCTACCTTGGCGCATCGTTCTTACTATTTTTCTGTCCTCGCGGCACTTCTCGAGTCGACTGCCACTCTCCACTTCAACCACCCTTTCTCTATCCTTGCTCCTTCAGCTACTCGTCTCCTCTGCCTCATCGGTACAATGTTCACGCTACTTCTCGAATAATGCATAATGCCGAGAAGCGTCCCCTTTTTCTTCTCCTTTTCTTCTCACGGGAATATGTCAATGAACGATCGACGATTCACCATCGGCCTCGGACGTCTTGTTACCGTTTTAATAAATCCTCGTGTTTCAACACGCCTCTCCATTCCACTTTCCCACTCCACTTTGCTCCTTTTATTCTCGCATTCTTCCTCGCGAAATCAACAACCGATCGCTCTTCGATCGGCGACGCGAGATTTCTTCTCGAACCGACGTACCGTCGAAATTTCGTTTAAAGGGGTGGTTAAAGGGGTGCGAAATCGGAGAAAATAGCCTGGATCCGGGGTTACACGGTAGCCCTCCATTTTGCCAGGCGAGACAACGCGAATCCGTCGAAATCGGTTTCACCGAGTCGAGTCGACGCGCACGTGCACGCGTTTAAACGCAACGCGTCGAGTGGCTCGTATTCCATTTTAATGGAGCCATGTCGGGAGTCTGCGGGTGACGATCGAAATTGTCCTGGTTTCTCATGCTAGCGCCATCCGAGTGTTCTACTAATATTTAACGACCGAACGAGGCTCGCGTGTGCAACGATCGCGACTTCGTTTCCGCTTCTGGCCTCGAGCCCTGATAATTGTCCTCGCGCTTAACACCCGGCTGAATATTCCTCGAGCGTGGCTCTAATTACGTTATCGGCCAACGGGCCCCTAATTTTTCCCACCCCGTTAATCTACCCCTGCCTTATCCGCGTTCACGAAAATATCGGCGTCGGTCTGTGAAACACTCGCAAGCTCAACCTAGTTAACGCGTGGCAAGAAATTCACAGGCACGGACCAGTGTTTCGCTAACAACTGCCTAACGACGTGTGTGCCACGTTGTTGGCGATTCTGTGACAAAAGCATTACGACGTGCGTGACACGTCTTTCCAGCCCGAGTGGATAAGCGCACAGATTCACTTTTAATTTCCCGCCACGGTTCGAAGCAAGCTTTATCACCGCGTTTCAAAGACCACCGACGTCTAGGTAGAGGAAGATTTAGACGCGCAGTTACGCAAACGAATCTTCAGCAAATATCCCAGCGAATCGCGTTTGACTGTTCCACTCATAGGAAACCTAAATCTAACCCGTTCCATTCCGTAGATAGACAATTCGTCCCGAATTGGAATCTTTTAACGTGTTAAGTGCCCTGTCCGTTTTGCTTGTCGTTCTGTTCAGACCCAGACTCGGCTGTCAAGTGGGCTACCGTCGGGCAAAGTGTACATAAAACTTGGAGATACTGTAGCAATTGTCATAATAGGAATTCCCAAACGTTAGGCCCAAAGATGGCGAAGAATTTAATATCAAAAGTTAGCACTTTTTGGTCCTAGTCTGGGCCGGTTCCAAACGGTTTGAATCACAGAGGGTTTTGGAGAAACATTGTCGAGGAATCCCAAGGGGGTACGAGAATATCCAAGCAGCGCTATAGCGCTTCATCTATTTTATGTAGAAAAATCCCAGGCGGCGCGATAGCGCTTCGTTTATACTTATGGCGATGAATGGCCAAGTAGCGTGATAACGCTTCGACTTTGACAGTCGGTGACACACCGTCAGCTGTCAAGAATGCTCGAAATGTGCTGGGTTTTCTCGATATGAGATCTGAACTTAAACGGTTAACGTGTTAATCGCGAATTTCTTTCCATCAATGGCGTTCGACGCGTCGGGGGTGGCTCTCTGTTCGCGTTTCGATCGGAGAGTCTTTGTCGTCGTCTATCGTCGAATCCGTGTGGAAAGTTGGCGCGGGTAAACATTTGGAACGATCCTCTGAGGGCTCGTTCGTGGAACGGATTTTTCAGGCCTGACCGATCACCGATTTTTCGTTATTCTTCCAGACAAATGCGCCCCCGTTATTATCAATTTCACGGACGCTTCTCTCACGGCTGATTAAATTTCTGGCTTTTCGCGAGCGCGAGCCGAGATCAGCGGTACAGGGATCGATCGGCGGGATTAAAACGTTATTAAATCCATTTGTCGTTTTACAACGCGCGCAAGTACAGCGCGTTCGTTATCTGCTGTCGGCCAGATACGAACCGGGATCCACGGGATCGATACGCGTCCATTTTTACCCCCGATTTTGCGGCCGCGATTCGTGCGTCGTTTTCCCATTGTGCTCGTCGTGTATCGAGATTCTTTTTTCATTTATTTCCCTCTCGATCGAATTCGGAAAGAACGACGCGACCGTTCTCGCAATGAACACGCGCGCGTGATCACTGGTTTCGATTCGGAGATCGCGTGGATCGAGGTGACCTTGGGAAATGATTTCCACTTGTCCTTTATCCCGTTTCCTCTTTTCTCTCTTCTTTTATTTTCATTCCTATTTTTCCATTTACCCATTTTGCCAGGCGAGACAACGCGAATCCGTCGAAATCGGTTTCACCGAGTCGAGTCGATGCGCACGTGCACGCGTTTAAACGCAACGCGTCGAGTGGCTCGTATTCCATTTTAATGGAGCCATGTCGGGAGTCTGCGGGTGACGATCGAAATTGTCCTGGTTTCTCATGCTAGCGCCATCCGAGTGTTCTACTAATATTTAACGACCGAACGAGGCTCGCGTGTGCAACGATCGCGACTTCGTTTCCGCTTCTGGCCTCGAGCCCTGATAATTGTCCTCGCGCTTAACACCCGGCTGAATATTCCTCGAGCGTGGCTCTAATTACGTTATCGGCCAACGGGCCCCTAATTTTTCCCACCCCGTTAATCTACCCCTGCCTTATCCGCGTTCACGAAAATATCGGCGTCGGTCTGTGAAACACTCGCAAGCTCAACCTAGTTAACGCGTGGCAAGAAATTCACAGGCACGGACCAGTGTTTCGCTAACAACTGCCTAACGACGTGTGTGCCACGTTGTTGGCGATTCTGTGACAAAAGCATTACGACGTGCGTGACACGTCTTTCCAGCCCGAGTGGATAAGCGCACAGATTCACTTTTAATTTCCCGCCACGGTTCGAAGCAAGCTTTATCACCGCGTTTCAAAGACCACCGACGTCTAGGTAGAGGAAGATTTAGACGCGCAGTTACGCAAACGAATCTTCAGCAAATATCCCAGCGAATCGCGTTTGACTGTTCCACTCATAGGAAACCTAAATCTAACCCGTTCCATTCCGTAGATAGACAATTCGTCCCGAATTGGAATCTTTTAACGTGTTAAGTGCCCTGTCCGTTTTGCTTGTCGTTCTGTTCAGACCCAGACTCGGCTGTCAAGTGGGCTACCGTCGGGCAAAGTGTACATAAAACTTGGAGATACTGTAGCAATTGTCATAATAGGAATTCCCAAACGTTAGGCCCAAAGATGGCGAAGAATTTAATATCAAAAGTTAGCACTTTTTGGTCCTAGTCTGGGCCGGTTCCAAACGGTTTGAATCACAGAGGGTTTTGGAGAAACATTGTCGAGGAATCCCAAGGGGGTACGAGAATATCCAAGCAGCGCTATAGCGCTTCATCTATTTTATGTAGAAAAATCCCAGGCGGCGCGATAGCGCTTCGTTTATACTTATGGCGATGAATGGCCAAGTAGCGTGATAACGCTTCGACTTTGACAGTCGGTGACACACCGTCAGCTGTCAAGAATGCTCGAAATGTGCTGGGTTTTCTCGATATGAGATCTGAACTTAAACGGTTAACGTGTTAATCGCGAATTTCTTTCCATCAATGGCGTTCGACGCGTCGGGGGTGGCTCTCTGTTCGCGTTTCGATCGGAGAGTCTTTGTCGTCGTCTATCGTCGAATCCGTGTGGAAAGTTGGCGCGGGTAAACATTTGGAACGATCCTCTGAGGGCTCGTTCGTGGAACGGATTTTTCAGGCCTGACCGATCACCGATTTTTCGTTATTCTTCCAGACAAATGCGCCCCCGTTATTATCAATTTCACGGACGCTTCTCTCACGGCTGATTAAATTTCTGGCTTTTCGCGAGCGCGAGCCGAGATCAGCGGTACAGGGATCGATCGGCGGGATTAAAACGTTATTAAATCCATTTGTCGTTTTACAACGCGCGCAAGTACAGCGCGTTCGTTATCTGCTGTCGGCCAGATACGAACCGGGATCCACGGGATCGATACGCGTCCATTTTTACCCCCGATTTTGCGGCCGCGATTCGTGCGTCGTTTTCCCATTGTGCTCGTCGTGTATCGAGATTCTTTTTTCATTTATTTCCCTCTCGATCGAATTCGGAAAGAACGACGCGACCGTTCTCGCAATGAACACGCGCGCGTGATCACTGGTTTCGATTCGGAGATCGCGTGGATCGAGGTGACCTTGGGAAATGATTTCCACTTGTCCTTTATCCCGTTTCCTCTTTTCTCTCTTCTTTTATTTTCATTCCTATTTTTCCATTTTTTTTTTTTTTTTATTAGGAACTAACAACGGTAAGCTTTATGCCAGTTTCCTTTATACTCGAAACGAACGGCTCCTTTTGTTCACGAATTTACAGCCACTGATCAACGAGAAAGGACCCCCCTGGCTGTTACACGGGAACAGCGTTACAACAGAAACATTTGCCAGGAGCTTCCGCGACAAAAGGGAAACGAGATGATACTTTCCCGCCGACATGCCATACGGAAACCTAAACGCCCCCCGCGGTCTAGATACCGCACGACCATGCATGAGGTGCGCGTAATTCCCGCGATAACCGTAGCGACGCGTGCAAACGAGAGGACAAAGTAAAGATAAAAAGCGAAATAGCATCGCGACGACGTCTCGCGAACGATCGGCCGGATATGCTCGTGCCACGATTCTCTCTGTAGATCACCGGTTGCGATCCGTGAACTCGCGATCGCTTACCCTTCGTGAGAGAGTGGCGATTGTGTGCAGAACTGGACCTTTGGTTAGTTTCCTCAGAAGCGGCTCCAGCTGTAACAGAATAAACGGGCGTTATCGTTCCTTCGTGTATTACAATCGCTACTCGTTAGGGGTAAAGAAACAGGCCGCCCCGTTTCTAAGGGTAGTCGGTCGAAAATGTTCCCTCGGAAACTGGCAGCCGGCCGTTCCAAGTTCTCCGCGTTGACATTCGCGTTTCCTTTTCATCGCGTTAGGTCGCGTGTCTCTAAATATCGCCGAGTGTTGTACTCGCGTCGGCCACTCGCGGCTAACTATTCATCAAAGTTGCTCGCGAGGCACGGGGAAAGAGAGACGACGGCACAGAGAATGGCTCCCTTTATGCCGACGCATCCATTGACTCTGCATATAAGGCCGACTATAGCGATGCCCGCGGTCTTTCGCCCACGTCGCTAACAAGCTTATTAACAGTGTCTTCATTAACCCCCGCACCTCCCCCGTGGCTGCTAATAAACACCTTCAGCGGAGAAATTTCAGCACTCCGGCAAACGGACCACGAGCGAGCCCGGTCCCAATTATCTTTCCGCCATGTGAAATTAGCCATGTAAATATTGCCGGGAACGTTTTTACGCAACCAGCCAGCTAGTTTCCTTTTTTTTTTATATATCATATCGTGTATCGCGAGCTGATGGAACGGTTACCCAACGGCGTAACAGTTTTCACTCGCAACTTTCTCCGCTGCGTTCCTTCATCCTTATCGCGAACGACGTCGTCGTCGTCCACGAGTATTCCCTCGTTCCTCGATATTCGATTTTCGCGTCGATTCTCTCTGGCTATCCCTATCGCAGCAAAATTCACGGGCTTTTAACCTCGGAGGGTTAAAAGACACCGTAGGTATAAAATCGCGACGGAGGCGGGTGCCGGAAGACGTCCGGTTTCACGGCTGATGGAGTCTAATAACGCAATTTCATAGGACAGCTTACGCTTCGCGGGTCATTTCGCTGGCAATCGATTCGGGGTTCCCTACTCGCTCGCGCGTGTATATCGTCCGCGAAAACAGCCCGCCGATACGCTCGATATTTCCTTGCACACCGTGCACCGGCTCATTGCGCGTGCAGCGAAATCGGGAAGCGGTGAACTGATCGGGCCACAATGCACTCGGCCATAACTCGATCGATCTCGATCGCGCGGGGCACCGACCACGAGTCGGGGGTACGGTGCGCGTAATCGCCAAGGATCTCGTCGCGAGAAATTGATTATGCGAGTTAATAACCCGCCGCGAGCTTCGACACGCGTTAAATATTAATTAATTCCCGTTCCAGCAGTGAAGCCATCATCGGGAAACAACCCCTACTACATCGGTAGCTCGGTGTTTCGCTTCCCTGTGGTCGAAGTTCCGAGTTACCGAATTCGCGGCGAACGTCGATAATCCTCGGCCGTGGAGAAGCAGGGCTGGTTTCCCGTCAACGAGCCACGTTACTCTAGCAACCCCGTTCAGGCCAGGTGTGCATGCACGTGAGACTGCTGCGGCCAGAGACCACCGCTACCGGCGAACTTCGGCGTTTCCACCCCTCGCACATTCTCCGCCGCCATTATCCGGAAGCGCTCGCCAAGTCGATCGCGTCGTGAACCGTGAAGAAGATTGATCATTTCGTCGGCGGATAAGTCGATTCGCCGGAAATTGGCAGAGAGCTTAGCGGAATATTATCCAGGCAGATAGCCCGTAACGAACCAAGGCCCATAGGCCCGGTCTTCGTGGCTCTTCGAGACTGATTAATAACGAGATTCGACCCGGTTACCGTTTCGCGCCACCGATTTCGCTGTACCTCGAATACGCGAATATTACAGTCGCTTCCAAACGAATTCACGTGGCAGGGTCAATTTTTAACCCTTTGCACTCGAGTGGTAATTCTCGTTGTCAGTCACCGTTTGTTTCGATACCTGGAAGTCCGAGTAACGAGTATCAGATTACTAGATTAGAAATAACTCCTCATGAAATATCGAAATGAAATACACGTGATTTTCTCTTTTTCTTTTAACACAAACGGTATCACTGAGATAAGAAAAATATAAGAAACGCTTAGAATTGTTACATCTTTATAACGTGGAAATTTTCCAGCGCACAGGGATAATAATTTGAACAATCAATTGCATTTCTTACCAAGTTAAACGCGGAATTGGTACTGTTCATTTTAACACTAGATTTACGGAACCCGTTAATTTGACGGAAGGGTTGCTCCAATTATACGATGGTAACAGACTTAAGTAACTTGTATTAAGACTGTTAATACAATATATAATTGTTTTTAAATTAAACAAATCGTTAAGAAAAAAGACACGTGGTTTCCTTTACCTGTCAGTTTGACAGGTGTCCTTAGAAATAGGTATACAGATAGCGTGCGTAAACCTAGTATTAATCATCTTACCATTACTCGATACCTTTCCTAATCCTTTGGATTCGCAGACTTTTTCGTTGTAAACCGTAATTCGAAGCTTTTCTTAGATTTCCATAAGCTCGTTGATACTCTTTAAGTCAAAATAAAAAAAGAAAATCGTGCATTTGTGTGAGAAATATCGAAATAAATGAATAGAATTATTTTATTTCGATATTTCGTAGTTGTTAATATAATTATCATCATTCGTTATTCGAATTATAGCAGCGAAACAAACGGTGACTGAGAGTCACCTCTCGAGTGCAAAGGGTTGATATACCGACGAGTGACAAAATTTTTGGTGATGTCAGGGAAACATGGCTGACCGTGACTTAAATTTGCGATTAATGGTTCCAAATTATCGCGATTGCGACAGGTACTTGGATACTCTGACGCTCGGACGAGACGAAGGAAGGTAGTTCTGGCGCGAGCATGGATTGCCTGGTGGGAGCTGGGAGAAATTTTTGCTGGCTTCACTGCGGAGGAATTAACGCGTCGCGGCTATTACAGGGGCGTACATGAGGGCGCAAACTGGAGGTCGGTCCATGATAACGACGCGACGCTCGACGCGTTAAATATTAACGCGTCGCGAGGAACTTCTCCGCGCTCAGCGGCATCGAGATTTACGCCGTTGCCTCGCGAATCCGCGAGCGACAAAGTTTGTCCTGTAATTTACGAACGACGATACAAACGGAGGGTGTGAAATTCGACCGGAGGCCACGGTGGAAACGCCGTCGAGAGGGAAAAATCGCGTTATCGAGCTGGGATGAGGTAAACGTCTAAGTGCTCCACGTTCGTTGGCCCTTGGACCTGTATCCTTCGAGAAATCGTTCTCGAGCCGATGTTCCTTGCGCCGGGCGGAGATCCGAGCTATTAAAACGTCGCTATCGCGGATCGTCCTGGCACGATAATGAAAACCGAGAGCTCGTAATTCCGACGAAGGCGCGGCAGTAATTTCAATGGATGGACCAGGGAGATTATTACTCGCGCGAGCGGCTGCGCCGCCATTACTCGACGTCGCGGGTGAACTCGCGCGAACGGTCGTCCCTGAAAGGGTCTCCTCGACAGACGAAACGGACAGCGGGTGCAATTTTTCTCCAAGTCGACGTCGCGTTCCGTCGACCATTCACTGCTGGGCTTCACGGTATAAGGGGTTCCTTTTGTCCGGACGCGTTCCTCGAGAATGGAAATTAACACTGGCGTCTCGTATAGGCAGATTCATTACTGCGACAACGGCGCGGAGGTCGTGGGTGGATGGCAATGGCGGCATACACCAGTTCTCCAAGCATCGCGGCTGACTCGCGTTGCTACAATTTCGGTATCGACTATCGCTCCCCATTTCGACGGGAATGCGACTAATGACGAAACAATATCGAGCAAATTACCCCGAAATGCTTCCACGATAAAGCGTTTCCCGCGGAATACGCGTGACGAATAAATCTAAACAAATTTCGGAAAAAAATAAATAAATAAATAGGTAAATTAAACTATGGCAATTTAAATGACTGAATAGCGGTGGAGCAACAAGGGGGAAGGTGGATGATGATCGGGGATGCATAGTGCCTCTTTAAAAAGAGACTTTCACCCGTTGGCAAGGCGTCCGGGATCGAATCCTCGGCGAATCTGCACGAGACAACCGAAATCGCTTTCGCGTGCGAATGCATAAAGGAAGCCACGCGACGGAGTGTAAGGGAGGAAGGATCGCGGGACGGGGGGAATAAAAGGAAACACCCCGAGGAATAAACTCGGGACACGGAACCACTCGTATAACGAGCACGTTCGTTTCAACTTCCCGTCTCCGTACGAACGCCTCTGCGAAGCACTTTGGCGACGCTAAATAATCTCCTGATTTACTGCCGCGTGCCGCGAATCGCAAATAATAGTCCTCGCTGCTCGACGTTCACTTTCGCCAGCACACCGACGAGCCTCTGACGTTCTTCCTTCCGGAATTAATTCCCGCCACGGGTATGTTTAACGACACTGAAATAATTTGCCAGAGTTAAAACTTCCCCCGGAAGAGGGAGCCTTTCCTTTGCGCCTTCGAGTTCAGCCTCACTGCCGTCAGAGGATTCGTCGACTTTCAAAAGCCTCGCGCGTTTCACCCGTTTGGCGCCATCGAGTCAGCCTCGTCGAGTTTTCACGACCCGAAAGTCGCGGTAAATTTCGAATTTCCCGCGTTAATTGGAAATGGTCTCCGCCCGGAATTCAGCCAGCCCGAAAGCGGAAGAAAAGCGAGGAAAAGGAATAAAAGTGTCGGGAAGTAATAATCCCAAGGAGTGGAGGCATCCGAGTGTTTCATAGGGCCCATAAACGTCGGTTAGAGGCGATCCCGGTGATCCTGGCCGAGCAGCAAGCTCGTAATTCTCGCGGTACGACAACGACTCGCGCTCCATAAATTCCTGTCGCGGACAAAAGGATCCCTTACGGCGTACTCGAGGCGATCCCGCCTCGGCGAATCTGCATTCGCGCGGTTCGAATTTACAAAGCCACGGCCACGACGAACTATCGAATGTCGCAACGTGTTCCGCAGCGGTGGCCCGTTAATGCAAGCGTCGCATGCAAGCTATCGCGCGCCGCGAGAAATTTATCGGGGCCAACGAATGCAATCGTCGCGTCCCCTTCGTGGCCCGTCTCCCTCGTCGT